TATATATTTTTGAAAAGTATGATTCTTTTGTTTAAACATTCTTTATGTATCAGCAAACTATTTATGTGAATATGCTATTATATAAAATTATCTTACCTTAAAAATGATATTACTTCAAACTAGGTTTTCACCAAATAAGTTTCTGTTTGGCATTGATTATGTATGTACATATGTATATACATATTTATATGAAAAACTATACAAAAACTTTAATCTGATTTTACAAGAATTTAAAAGAATTTCATGCTTAAGAAAATTACAATTTGCGATAGATGTAGCTTGCAACTTCCATGTGACAATAGAAAAAACATTAAAATTTAAATATTATCTTACAAAGCTTATACAATTTACAATATTGCAAGGGTAGAGAGAGACAATATTTAACGGAATAAAATTCTTCACAACTTGCGCGTTTCTAGTGATATCTAACCAAACATCAAAAATATTTTATGCAGGAGTCTTCTATATAGCTAATTTAATTCTTCACTGATGCTAATCTTGAACACGCTGCTGAACGGTCTATCTCTAAATCTTCCTAGGACGAGTTATTTTTTTCGCTCTCTTTCGCTTTGTACATATATTTACAAATTTACAGTGCCACAGCTTATGAAGAACACATTTGTCCTCTGTACAGGTTGCTTTTATTTTGTTTTCATTTTTACAGCGGTGACTTTTCGTAATGAAATAGTATTGATCATCGACTAGTCTTCTTACGTCTTCGTTTTGACTCACCGGACGGATTCCATTCTGGATCAACATCGGTGTAACAATAATTTACCTTAGGAACGTTTCTTTTTGAGCTTCTCGTTTGTCTAATAGACGATTGTGTTTTTTTCGCCTTTTTACACGCGCTATCCTGTTCGATCGTCTCCGTTGCTATACGTTTCAGAGATGTTGGATTCGTGACGTCTCTACGCTGCGCAGGTGTCCTGTCCTGACAACTTTCTAGGCACACTGCGTTAGGCTGATCACCGTTCGGTCGAAACTGATGCTCGTGATTTCTTGTACTTTCTTTCGTAAGATTATGATGTGCATTAGTAATGTGTATATCTTTGTAATAATCTCTGCGCACTATATTCGAATTGAAATGATAGCTTCCGTGAGGATTATCCTCCTCATTAGGGGATAATTCATACGATGATTTAATGATTTGCGCGGGATGTTTCGGTGTACCATCTATCGTTTCTAAGGCTGCTATGGACATCATGGGAATTCCAGGATAGTTATCCAATTTTTCCGTCTTGATGGGCACTTTCTCATACGCCATCATAGCGTGAGCCTTCAATCTCTTTTTTAACGGCAACTTGTTTTCCATATCTTTTTTGAATAACTTCTCTGGTTCGCGTATATCCAGCTTCTCCATCGTATTATTTTGTAGCGATACTCTTTTACGCAATATTTGTTCGTCATACAATTTACTTATTACCGCTTCGCTTTTTGTCCTATCGTGCTCTTGGACGGCGGATGTTTGTACTGATGAATGTGCGGGCAAAAAATAAGAATTACTTTCAATGCAAGACACGTGGGAGTCTGTGGCAGGGTGTATACACTGTCTACAATGCGTAACTATGTCATACGTACAATTTAGACATGAGCAATGCGATCTCCCGCATGAATTAGCGGATTTCGTGTGGGAATGGAGCGAAGTAGTAGAATTAATTTGTAAACTACACGACACAGAAGTGCAATGCTTGTGATATGGCATACATAGATCAGTGCCGGCAGCACAGTTTCCGTAAATCGAAGGTATTGTCGTAGGATGAGTGACCGGAATATGTAACGAATGTTGCGGTTCAATCACTTCGTGAGAATGCGAATGTATCCCGTTGCATCCCTGTATTCCACAATTCGGCGTAATATGATTGTTGAACTCTTGCTTAATGTTTTGCCTATAAGTGAGGATGGATTTGGATTTTCGTTTGTCGACCGACTTACTGATACTCAAATTCGCAACGTTCGTATCTTGATAAATCTGCGACGTCGCCGGTAACACGTCAGTCGACAATGAGCCTTTCTTACCGTACGATTTCATCTCCGTGATACTCATTAAATTGCTTTCTTCCTCGGGCTCGATTTTTATACTTTTGTTTCTTCCGACGGAATACTTGGTTTCTTGGCACGATAATTCTTTACTATATTGCGGCAGGTCCAAATTAAACGAAATACGCTCTGATGTATTAACGACTTCGAATGATGCACAATCTTCCGGTGGAACCATCCAGCTCTTTTCTTTAATCGGACAGCTCTCATCGTCACTATTATGATCTCGAGCATTTTCCACTGCTTTATTGATGATGTATAAATTACTATTGGGAGATTTTTGTAAGAGCACGACTGTTTCTCCATTCAATATAACATTTGTATTCTCCTTTATTGACTGCACATTATTTTCCACCATACTTAAATTGTTGGATATTGTGTCTGTTTCATAGTTAATACTAGTTTCAACAATATGCGAAACGCTATTGCTTGAATCGGTCTCGCGGTCATCGGGATCAGTTGTTGATGTTACTTCAACATGAAGCGCTACTTTATCCAATGCGTCCTCCGGATAAATCCCAACTATTTTATTGATAACTTCAGCAGTCGGATTCTCTAAAATCTGAGAAACTGTATTCGACGAGTCATTGGTATCAGCCTCATCATCCGTAGTTTGATTATAAGGAGAGCTTCTTAATGATGCATAATCCTTCACTTTGATTTGTTCGTATTTTAATTCGTGTTCGGTTTTTAGATGAGATACATGTTGACTTGCAATAACATTGGCTAATAACGAAAGCCCATCTATATTATCGTGTAACTCTGCATCTTGAATGATACATTTATTTTCCGACTGAATATTTTGAATATTTTTCATATGTGATATCTTGTATGATTTCTTCGGTGATTTCTGATCGTGTGTTTGATCAAGATCAGGAAGATCCTTCTTAATTTTTGTGCATAATACAGAAGATCTTCCTAATTCCTCTATGTTATGTTCTCTACTGCAATTCTTGTTAGATTCAATTTCTGCGCTTTCTTTATGATTTGGTTTCAAGTGAATATCCTTCTCACCATTGACTTCTTCCTTTGAACACAGTGACATATCGTAGATATTAGAAATATTTTTCTTATCAGCTGTGTGATTTTCAAAAATAGTTTCTCTGATTTTACAATTAGAGAATCTGCTATTCCTTATGTCATCGCTTATTTCGATGCAAGTACCAATCTTTAAATCTGTTTGTACATTAGAATGGTCTCCGTTCATTATATTAAGACTTACAATATTATTTGCAGTATCGTGGCTTGTTGATACATATTTATCCTGAGATTCAGGTTCCTGTAGTTGTCTTGTATTTTCAGTAATGCATGGCTTCCGTAATCGTTCAGATTCTGTCATATCATTTATTAATATTTCCACGTTACTTACAGTTGTTGTAGTGCGAGTTTCAGCCGCAGTCGTAGAAACTGCAAATTTCTCTTTACTTAATTCACTATCAATTGTGTTTGATTTAAAACACTGTGTTTCATTACTTATCGTTTTACGAGTATCTTCTCGCACGTGTTTCTCAACATTATCAAAATTTTTCATTTTTTTATCAATTGTTTCATTCTTTGCATTATTTCGGCAATGCGCATGCTCTAAAGACGAAATTATATACGCAGATTTATCTTTAGTTGTACTAAGATAGTTAGTATTATGATTAGAGCTATCATCTTCATCTTTGGAATCGTCTTGGGCACATATCATGGGAGGAGTATTTACAGTTTTAGAGTGTTCTGTTCCTAAATCACAGATTTTCCTTAAACTTTCAACTCTTTTATAAGTTTCACTTTCAGGCGGAGTATCTTTTTCTATCAGTCGTTTAATCACAGTCTGTGTATTATGTCTATTATTTATTCTGTCATTATTCTTTGCTTCCGAAGTAGTGTTAATATCATGACATCTGTTAATATTATTAGCATCATCCAAAATATCCAATGGCGAATTTTTAGAAGTTTTAGATTTATTAGACTGTGGTCTATCAACGATTACAGAAGAAGAGACTGTGCAGTGCAGCGTCCCAATAGTTTCACTTTTGCCACTGTTATTCATATCCACCGATTGTTTCGTAGATACTATGTTACCATTGACTGATGTATTTTTATGTTTCGCATCAAGTTGCATGGATTTCAGTTTTTCATTATCTAATTTCATATCCCGTATTTGAGATGTAGACTCGTTCTTCAAAGTTGTATTCTCTGTGACATGTACGGGTTGACGCGAATCTTCCAATCGCTGATTGAGAGTTATTTTCTTCAAAGAGTTTACATTTTCTGCTATTTGTTGTTTCTTAATCTTCTGTGACGTTCTTATCGCTTTTATGTTGAGCTTCTTCTTAGCTTCTTCGAGCCATGCAACTTTTCTTGATTTTCTCTTCTTTATACATTGTTCGAAAGCGATGTCAGTTGTAAGATCTATTATTACAATCTTATTAGATTTTTTAGCCTTCTTCCGTGGAAGCACTTTTGGTTTCATCGATTTAGAGATAGTCCGTGTTACAGAAACATTTGTAGAAATTGTGCCTAAAGGTTTAACATTTGTTTGTTCTACTAAATTTGAGGATTTTAAATTATCTAACAAAACAGAATTATTTTTCACATTCTTATCTGAAGAAACAAATTTATTTTGAATACACTGTATATTTTTATTTTCGCGTGATGTAACTTCCAGCTAGAGATACAAACTTCATTATTCTTCTATTATAATTTCAATATTGTTACCTTTATGCAAATTTCTTTTTAATAAAAATAAATCAAATTATATTTAATAAATATATTTTGTGTATTTAGTACATATAATTCTTCTGTTAACTTTATTAATTATAGCAACAAAATAAATAGAATTCTACAAAAATTTTTTGATAATTTGCATAAAAGTAATTTTTTTATTTGAATATATATGTATTAAATAAGATTTATTGAATATATATAATAAATAAGATTCAATATACTACTAGAGAAATAAAAGTAATTTTATAAAATTATTTAGAAACATATTTCTATAAAAAAATGTGACGATAAAAATATATGTACCAGTTGTGAAGTAGTCCTCTTCGATGAACTTGGAATTGTAGTTGTATTTTCACTTTTTTGTTGCCATGTACCTTCTTTGCTTTCTCTACAGAATTGTATAAATAATTCACAGCATTTTCTTATGTCAAATTTTTGCTGCATCAGATATTTTGCTGAATTTAGTTGACACTTTGGCACTTTCGGTAATACATCTTCTAATACGCATGGTGGGAAAGTTGCTGGCGGTGCTCCCAGAGAGGCAATTGCGGTTGAAATAATTTGACTTTTCATGGCCATATCACTATTTATCTTTCTCCAGAGACAATAAATAAGAAGGTAACGAATATACATAATATTTGATTCGGGATGCGCTGGAATATTTTTAATTATTTTTCTGAAATCAAATAAAAATAAAACATATAACATATAACATATAATAATATAAAAAATCATATATTTTCCAAAAGTGTATAAAAAAAATTTAATCATACTTCGTATTTAATATTAATTTTGAGATAATAAAATTTATGAACAAAATTATAAGCTGTATCTATAAAAAAATAATTTCAAGAAAATTAAGCAATATATTTTAAATGGTGTATACATATATACACCATTATATGGTATAAAATACAAAATATTTTGAATGGAATGTAAAAATCTTTATACAGCAATTCATTGTTCAATTTATAATGATAGAAATAATGTAGCAAAATAGCAATAGTTTTAAAAAATTATATATTCCGAACATTTCAATATTATACTTACGTTATTATGGGATCTAAAATACGGTGATAACCCCGGCACATAAATTGTATTTTTATCAAAGTATCTAACAAATGTTCTGTGGAATGTTCTGAATAAAATATGGAAAAATATTATTATTAATTAATTAAATCAGTATAAATTATGTAATATTTAATATGCATACCTAAATATACATAAAGACAAGAAGTAAGTCTTGTACAAATTCTATTATGATCTTCTTTACTTTTTTTTGAAGTCTTTTAATTCCATATCTATGTACAATGCCAATAAATCAGACATATTATTTAAGTAAATAGATCTATTACAGTCCTGAGAAAAAATAAATTAATTTTGTTTAGATATAAACAGCGTCACTAAAGAAAGAAGTTACTTACAGCGAAAAGAGGATTATACAAATGTATATAACATAATGGGCTGTTGAACTTACCTCAGAAAGCTCGCGATAGATATATAAGAACAAAA